TGAATGGTTTGCCTCAAAACAAGAAAAGTTCTATTGGGATGGTATCCATAAATTACTTGAAAGATGGGGGAAATGTGTAGCTAACGATGGACATTACTTTGAACAAAGTACTTTTGATGTTTCTCTTGAAATTGTCGTGTTCTTTTTTATTACAACATCCACCATTATTAACTGGTACATCTAGTAGTCCCAACCCTCTGAAAAAGGAAGTATTACCCCCACCTTACTTCTGAGGAAACCGAGGCAAGAAAGGTTAAGTAATTCTTCTCTGTCACACAGCTAGTAAAGAGTGGAGCCTGGATTTCTACACAGGCAGTCTGGCTCCAGAGTCTGTGCTCTGGACCAGTATGTACCTTGCCTTCTGCTATCACCACCATTACCGTTGTCATCATCAAAATCACCTTAAACCCTTACATTGAAGCTCATTCCTTTAAAAGACTGTGTTTTTTTATGTTAAATAATCGTTTTGTTAGTTAGATAACGAAATATTTGTGAAGATGACATAAATATGGACTTAAAAGTACTCACAGTGTCAAAATTTATAAATTCTCATAATTTGTTTGTGGATTAATATTAACTCACAGTGTCAAAATTTATAAATTCTCATAATTTGTGGATTAATATTTACCCGGCTACTTTGCACATTGTAGCAATCTTTGTCTTCCAATCAGTAATAAAACCTTTTGCAAAATGGAGTAATGAGAGCAAGGGAAATGTTTGGATACATGGCTTTTAAAATAAGTTTTAAAGAACATAAGGAGCCAAAGATACGTAGCATAACCTCTATATAACTCTAACTTAATTCCACAGGCACATAACAATATATTCGCCTCTAAACTTCACACCAATATTTAGAGTTGCAAGAAGTTTGAGAATTTTGAAAATTATTCCCTTAAACCAAGGTAAGAAATTCTTGACATTGAGTTCCTTTTCTTCATTTTGTTTTATGTATTTCCATATATTCATTTGAATTCCTCTGTTATTGTTTGGAGAAATATTAAATTGAATACTGCTTCAGCTTATTCAATTAATGAATTATCTGATCTTTAAATTTGTTTTAGTCACTACAGGAAAGGCAAAAAACTTACACATTTGACTGTTATTTATTTGAGGTGGGTTCATTAATTATAAAATATAGCGATCAATTGAAAAGATAATTTTTCTATTTTTTATTGTTTATTTATTTATTCTTATATCTTAAATATGATCTTATAAAATTGTCTTTAGACTTCTCTTTTTAAAATATATTTTATTGATTTTTTACAGAGAGGAAGGGAGAGGGATAGAGAGTTAGAAACATTGATCAGCTGCCTCCTGCACACCCCCCACTGGGGATGTGCCCGCAACCAAGGTACATGCCCTTGACCAGAATTGAACCCAGAACCCTTCAGTCCGCAGGCCGACACTCTATCCACTGAGCCAAACCGGTCAGGGCATCTTTAGACTTCTTGGAGAGACAGCAGCCTAGACAGATAGCCAATCTAACTTCTTCTTTTTCTAATTGCATCTAACAATCAGATGAAATGAATAAAGTAATATAAAATAGAACAAATTCCCTCTTGTTCTGAGTGCTTGGATAGGGTGCATTCCATATGCCACAAAATTCAAGGAGTTCCTGCTAAGTAAGGCTGTGACCACATGGATGGAAGATGCTGAGGACTAATTTTAGCACCCATTCCTGAAGATACCTTAAAACCTTCTAATTTGTTATCCAGAATGAATAAAAACAATAAAATAGGAAAACTCCAATCAGAGAGTTGTGGGGTTTTTTTGTTTGTTTGTTTTGGTTTTTTTTTACTGCTATGATTCAGAGTAGTATGAAATAGTTAGATCAATAAGCCCTGAGGCAAGTGTGATAATACCAAAAGTAAGAACTACAGGCAACTTTTGTGCACTGGTACACCATGAAGAGTGCCAAACACATGCACACTATGTATCAATCCAACCAAATTCCAGGTTGGCAAAACAGCAAAACGATTGGGGGAGTGTGGTGATGGATGCACAACCATGTGGCCATACTGAAACATTAAATTGTACACATTAAATGGGTGAATTGTATGGTTTGTGAATTATATCTCAGTAGAGGTGTATAATAAATGTGATTTGTGGCATAGCAGTTTTGCCAAACCCAGTGAAGAAACCAGTGAGACTTGCCCTGGTAGGGATAGTCACAGTCTGAACTTCCTTACTAGTCTCTACAAATCACTAGAACATAAAATTGCATCAACTGCATCTTCATCTTGGCAAGGATTATAGAAGAAATCAGGTGGATCCCAGTTAATACCAGAGGAATACACACACTAGAGTTCAGAGCACACAGGCTGGTAGGACCTGCTCTTTACAAGGGAGAAAATAATGAAAGCACATAGCAGCAATATAAAATGTATAAAAATATTTTGCAACATAGAAAGAGAAACATACTATTTGAGATAATGAAAATAATTCTCTTTTTCATAAAAACAGTGCTCTAAGAAATAGGAGCAAGCCTAAAAAAATCATATTTTGTAGTCCCAATAGAAGAAAATCGAGACTCTTTGAAGCAAAAGAGGAACAAGATTATAAAATGACAAATAAAAATGCTGTTAAAACTAAAATATGATAAAATTATAATAACTTTGGTTAATATCTGATGGCAGTAAAATACAGTATCATCTGTATAGTATTATGGTAAAGCAAAACCTATTGTACAGAAAAATTAGAGACATTCTATATTAATACAGTAGAACCAAAAATTGGATGGATTAATAAAGGAGAGAAAACTTAAGTTTCATTTTATGAATAATAGGTAATACTAAAAAAGAGACAGAATAATGTAAAAGACAAATTATTAAAAAATACACTAGAATTTTTTAATCACTTAAATCAAGACCTTAGTCACAAATGGAAAAAGCTCATCTTATACTAGACAAATAAATAAATAAACAAATAAAATAAATAAAGGATACACTTATAAAAGTATTATAAAACCCCTACAAGCAAAAAAGCAAAGAAAAAGAGCCTATGGAAAGGTAATCCTTAGACCTCGTGAGTGGGCAGTAGAGTTTCAGAACTTGGAGGGCATGTCGGCAGGGAGGTTATGACACCAGAACTTCATACCTGTTTGTCATTTATGTGTGAAGTCAACAGAAAATAATCTCAGCCATCCCCAGAATTCTTGAATTTTACATGGGTATCTTTCCTGAATATCTGCTGAAAAACAAAAATATAAAAATAAAATATTCCACAATGAGAAGATTTACTATCAAAAGTAATCACAATGAAGTATTAAATCATTTCAACAGAGAATGAATTCCAAATTATGTTGTTAGTGGGTTGAAAAACAGAATACAAATATTATAAATTATAAATTGTAGCATGGACATCTGTGGGTCATTCTTGAACTAGAAACATATGTTGTCTGTGCTCTTAAAAACTTTGGAATAGATACCAACCTTATAAAAATCTGGTGATTTTAACATTAAAATCTAAATTGATTTGGATAAATTGTCAGCATCAATCCAGCCAAATTCCTGGATGCAACTACCACCTGTAATTGTAGAGCCGCTTACCTTTAGGTCAGGCACATTCATCCAAGTCTCCTCCACTCCCTACTTGCACAAATTTTATTTTCTGACAAGCCTTTGTAAGAATATCAATGTTATCTTTCTTATAAATCATGAAAGATAATATATAATGCAAAATACATAAAATTCAACTATTATAATTAGGTCAGAGGTTCAAAATTATATTAACAAAAATGAGAACTAGAAATTGAGAAATGTGAGAAAGCAAATATTATTATGTTCTTATATGAGAAGACTATAGTAGATACAGTTTTATTTTTTATGTAGAGAGTATGTTTGTTCAAAATAAGAATTTAAGTTTGATACAGGTGCTCAAAATAGACATACTAGAAGAAAAAAATATTAAAATTTATTTAAGAAAGATAAAACACATAGAAATCATAAGGGAAACATAAAAATAAAAAACCAAAATGGTAAAGGCCAATCCAAATAAAGGCAATTTATGAAAATAAAAATAATTGGGTTAAATTTTTCTGTCAAGATGTAGAGACTTTAATATTAAATCAGAAATAAATTGAACTCTACCAGAGATACCTAAACTAAAACAAAATAAAAGTTTAAAAGTAAAATGAAGGGAAAGTAATACCAAGAAATCAAAGTCGCCCTGACTGGTTTGGCTCAGTGGATAGAGCATCGGCCTGTGGACCAAAGGGTCCCGGGTTCGATTCCGGTCAAGGGCATGTACCTTGGTTGCAGGCACATCCCCAGTAGGGGGTGTGCAGGAGGCAGCTGATTGATGTTTCTCGCTCATCGATGTTTCTAACTCTCTATCCCTCTCTCTTCCTCTCTGTAAAAAATCAATGAAATATATTTAAAAAAAAAAAAAGAAATCAAAGTCAAAGTTGGCATGTGGTAGGTAGCAATAAATGGTAGATAACAAAGAAAATTATTAATAAGTTTGATTCTGTAAAATTGGATGGTGACTTTTTTACCTTCAAACAAAATGTTACCAATAGATTAAAACTCACAAATACACACATATATACACATATACACACATACATGTGTTCTTATTTAAGAGCTACTCCAATAAAACAATATGAAACATTTTTCAGTAAAATAATATACAGAGGACTCAGGACATTGCCAAACAGAAGTACATTGCAAATGTACATGTTTTAAAAGTTCATTATGGTAATCAAAGAAATTACATTAAAGTTATCCCATTTTTCTTCTAATAAAATGGAAATACTTTTTAAATATTTCATTTTTAATGAAGACTTGATTATATACATATGTAGTGTTTGGTTTATGCATTAGTTTAACATCTCTTATTTAATCAGCTCCAAAAAATGAATTCTTAATAATTAATGAAAGAATATTATAGAATACTGCTGTTTCAAACTAGTTTTTGTTTCAACATTTTCAACCCATTTTGATTAATAACTCTATACTTTTACTTATGCTGACAAACAATAGTGATTGGTATGAAAATCAGTAATCAAGAGAGAAAGCCTGTCCTTTATGTAGTAAAGAGAAACAAACAAATGACTAATTTTAAAATATGTTGTGACTACATTATTTTGTTAAGTATAAAAAATTAGCAATTATACAAAAACCTTAAAGTTTGGTGTTTTATTCATTTTATTTATTAGACCTAGATCAGTGATGGCAAACCTTTTGAGCTCGGCATGTCAGCATTTTGAAAAACCCTAACTTAACTCTGGTGCCGTGTCACATATAGAAATTTTTTGATATTTTCAACCATAGTAAAACAAAGACTTATATTTTTGATATTTATTTTATATATTTAAATGCCATTTAACAAAGAAAAGTCAACCAAAAAATGAGTTCGCGTGTCACCTCTGACACACGTGTCATAGGTTCGCCATCACTGACCTAGATGATGGTAAATTAGATTATGAAACACAAAGCTACCAATTTCAATGGATATGTATTTGCCATGGAAGAAGTTTGCTAATGCTGCTTTACTAAAGTACTTTACTTTATTGAAAACAAACTTGTCTCTTTTCAGGTGTGAAATCTTATGTAGGGATCCTGCTCCAATGCTTGAAGAAACTTACCGGTGTCATTATCCTTACTCTATTTTTTCTGATCATATTTTCTCTAATTGGGATGGGGTTCTTCATGGGCAACCTAAAGCATAAATGTTTCCGATGGCCCCAAGAAAATGAAACTGAAACCCTGCACAACAAAACCAGAAACCCATGTTATAGTCGAGGTAAGAATCGCTTGCCATCTATGTCAAACAATTTAAATGTTCATTAGGGGGGGGCGAGGGATATTTTTAGTTCTATTTTTTAAAATTGCGGTATAATTTATGTACCATAATAGTCACAGTTTTAGTTTGTTCACAAGGTTGTATAACCATCACCGCTATCTAATTCCAGGACATTTTCATCACCCTAAACAGAAACTCCTATCCATTAGCGATCATTTCTCATTCCCCTTGCACCAGGCCCTGGCAACCACTAATCTACTCTTTGTGTCTATATACTTTTCTATTCTGGACATCTACACTAATAAAAGACAAAGATGATAATTGACCGTACCTTCGCTATGCCCAACCCACGCCCCCCAGCCCATCAGAGTGACTATATGCAAATTAACCCAACCAAGATGGCAGCCAGCAGCCATGGAGCTGGAGCAAGTAGGAGGCTTGGTTGCCCCAGCGATGGAGGAAGCCAAGCTTCCCGCCTGCTCTGGCTGGCGGTGGCCTCCGCTCAAGGCAACAAAGTTTCAATTATAGAAGACAAATAAATCCCAGATACCTGATTCCAGCCAGCCTCTACTGGGAGCTTGGGTGGCTGGGGGCTGTGGCCAGCCTGCAAACAGCCATCAGCCTCTCACCCAGACTGGCCAGGGACCCCAGCAGGACCCTCTACCATGAAGGGGCTGTGGCCAGCCTGCAAACAGCCATCAATTCCTCACCTGGGCTGGCCAGGCACCCCAGCAGGGACCCACACTGAAGGGGCTGTGGCCAGCCTGCAAACAGCCATCAATTCCTCACCTGGGCTGGCCAGGCACCCCAGCAGGGACCCACACTGAAGGGGCTGTGGCCAGCCTGCAAACAGCCATCAGCCTCTCACCCAGACTGGCCAGGGACCCCAGCAGGACCCTCTACCATGAAGGGGCTGTGGCCAGCCTGCAAACAGCCATCAATTCCTCACCTGGGCTGGCCAGGCACCCCAGCAGGGACCCACACTGAAGGGGCTGTGGCCAGCCTGCAAACAGCCATCAGCCCCTCACCCCGGCTGGCCAGGCAACCCAGCAAGACCTCCCTCCCTGAAGGGGGTGTGACCAGCCTGAAAATGGCCCTCAGCCCCTCATCCAGGTTGGCCAGGCACCCCAGCGGGATCCCCACCCTGATCCAGGACACCCTTCAGGGCAAACCAGCCGGCCCCCACCCATGCACCAGGCCTCTATCCTATGTAATAAAAGGGTAATATGCAAATTGACCCTAACAGCAGAGTGACTGGGAATCACTGGTCACTATGACACACACTGACCACCAGGGGGCAGACGCTCAATGCAGGAGCTGCCCCCTGGTGTTCAGTGCGCTCCCAAAGGGGGAGCTCTTCACAGCCACAAGCCTGGCTGAGGGCTGCCAGTACAGCGGTGGTGGTGGGAGCCTCTCCCACCTCCTCAGCAGCACTAAAGATGTCCGACTGCAGCTTGGCCTGCTTCCTGCTTGCAAGTGGACATCCCCCGAGGGCTCCCGGGCTGCCAGAGGGATGTCTAACGGCCAGCTTAGGCCCAATTCTCCGGGGAGTGGGCCTAAGCCAGCAGGTGATCATTCCCTGAGGGGTCTCAGACTGCGAGAGGGCACAGGCCGGGCTGAGGGACCTTCCCAAGTGCACACATTTTTGTGCACCAGGCCTCTAGTTTCATATAAATGGAATCAAGCAGTGTATGGTCTTTTGTGACTAACTTCTTTCACTTTCTTCTTTGGAGAAATGTCTATTCAAATCTATTTCTCTGGGTTATTTGCCTATTTATTATTGAATCAAAGTAAGATTTTGTATATCCTGGATTCTAATCTTTACCACAATCTTGCAGAGGAGACATGAATAACCCCTGTTACAAAGAAGGAAATGAAGTTCAGAGAAATTTAGTGAATGCTCCAGAGTACTGTAACTACATGGGGATAAAATCAGGATTCTCTCCAAGCAAAATTCGGGTTTAATAACCCTTCCCTTTACACAAACCATACTCTTACTGGATTTTTTTTTCTCACATTAAAATTATCAGGTCCTTTCTGACAGTATTTAGAAAAAAATAAAAGCATATTTTTCAACTAATAAAAAACAAATATTGATTAATCTTATGTAGTCCTTCTACATTAATTTATACTTTGGATTTAATAAGTTCTAAAACAAATCTTAATAATTTTTACTCTTTAGTTTTCCCTATGAAATGATAATGATGCAAGTAATACAGAATTATTAGTCTATGAGTATGTGGAATGTTTCCTTATGATATGTGTCTATTTCAAGGCCCTAATTTTAGTGGTGAGGACATCAGGAGATAGATTAGTAAATGTTAGATTCCAGTTGAAATACCCTTTGGTTCCTTTGACAATGTAACAAAATATGCTAATTACTTAAAAATAATTTTTGCTACTTCACTAATTATTGCTAAGGAAACAGGTTATTTTCATCTTTGTTAAAATATATTAAGAACAAATCACTTTTAAAGATTACCTCTTTAAAATAGTCAAATAGCATGCTAGGACCCGCTGAAAATATAATATTATTAACCTAATTGCCATGTCATAGTCCTTGTTCATAGAATAGTATTTGGGACTGTCCAGTTTCACTAATGTCAAAGTTCAATGTTTTTTTTTTAATTTACCTTTATTATTGAGTGTATTACTGATGTCCCCTTTTCCCCCCTAGACTCCCTCCTCTCACTCCCATCCACTCCCCTGGCTTTCACCTCACTATTGTCTGTGTCCTTGGGTTATGCAGATATGCACATAAGTTCTTTGGTTGTCATTTCATTTTTAACTGCTATTCAAGAGGTTGATCAATGGTTTCTAATTATGTATGATTTAAAAATTCTTCTAAAATTATTTTAAATGACAAATTTAAGTGACATTATTTGAGATTGGAGTAATTCAATTTTATATATATAACATATATACAATTTTGTGTACATATATATTTTTGCATGTACATACTCTCTCTCTCACACACACACATACACATGCTCAGAACTCCTCTCATGGGTTTGATTTCTGTGATTTGAATTTAGAATCTAAAAATCAATGCTTCTAGGGATGCATGTTCCCAACCCTGGTAACTATATTTATAAATATCCAGTTTACATTTTAATTGACAAGTAAGGATATCTGGATAAATTCTATGGGCTGTAATTCAGATCAGCTTAGGTTGTGGTCAAAATTAGGTGACACCAGGGAAATAATTGGCGCTGGATGCTCAATGAAGAAAAATAAGCTTCAAAGTGAGAAGAGAATGGAAATTAAACCCAAAGACAGAAAATCTGGTCTTCTGCTCAGGAAGAGCATCAGGAATAAATCCTGGAAATAAAGGCCTGTGGCTTTCCAACATATTAGTTTTAGGAATTTTTCCTTCAGGGGTCTGGACGTACCTGGCTGGTTACATTCATTTTCTTGAACTCTAATTTTGAAAGGGATTCTCCTCTTTCAATACTGAGTTTTATCACTTTCAGGTCAGTGAAGTAGGTGGATTGCCAGAGGACTTTTTGCCTGTGCATCAGATGCTAAGACAGCTTCCTTGATAAAAGTATGGAGTTTCCTCAAAAAGTTAAAAATGGAACTCCCACTTGACCCAGTAATGCCACTTCTAGGACTATATCCCAAGAAAGCAAAAACACCAATCAGAAAGGATATATGCACCCCTTTGGTCATAGCAGCACAATTTACAATAGCTAAGATTTGGAAACAGCCTAAGTGCCCATCAGCAGATGAGTGGATTAAAAAACTGTGGTACATCTACACAATGGAATACTATGC